GTGGACAGTTCCTACCTACAAATTTGGAATTCATAAATGAGAAATGTATAGAGACTGAAATAGTGATTTGCTTGGTAGACTAATGTCTATCGATTCATTTATTCGTGAAGTGATTTCAATTGTATTTATCTGGCTTAACCAGATATCCTTGCATTCATTACCTAGTTATTATTGTTGTTTTTGCGTCTGCTTAATCTATCATTACTAACAACAAACACAGACAACAATGGAAGGAACTTGAAAGAAACAACCTCCACTACCTACCTACCTGGGAAGCATCGTTTCAACTACAGGCGGATGGAACTGACGAGGATATCAAAGCAGTGAGGATCGGGAAAGCAAGACAAGCTTTCACTACTCTCAAGTCTGTGTGGAGGTCAACACCACTACTCAGTATCAAAAATAAGATCCGGATTTTCAACTCCAATGTGAAGTCAGTGCTACTATACAGATCAGAGACTTGCACTGCGCGTCATAAAGAGCATCTCAAACAAACTACAGACCTTCATTAACAGTTGTCTTCGCTCAATACTCAAGATCAGATGGGTGGCCAGAAAAGATCAGCAACAGAGATCTCTGGCAGTGAGCGAACCAACCAGGAACCGATTGTGAAACAAATAGGCAGGAAGAAATGGAGATGGATTGGCCATACTCTGAGAAATCAAATCATCAAGTGACATCACTAGACAAGCCATTGCTCGAGTGGAACCCGAAAGGGAAGCGGCGAGTTGGTCGTCAGTGCAAGGGTGACTTGGAGGAGGTCATGTGAAGAGGAGATGAAAGCGTGTGGGCAGACCTGGAGCCAGGTGAAGACTCTAGCAGAGAACCGAACGCAATGGAGACGCACGGCTGAAGCCCTATGTTCCTCTAGGAATTAAAGGAAACAATAATAATAATAAGTATAAATCATTAAATGGACAGTAAATAGATCCTGTCATTTCAGTAAATTTCATTGCTTGACTTCAGTTCCATTACAGAAATAAACCAGTTAGTAAAAAAGAATTTCAAGATTATACACAAAACCAGTCCTTAATCCGTGCTGAAATTATTTATTTTCACAGTTGACTGAATTTTGTTTAACTTATATGCAACTGAAGGTGGACCGTGAAGTTTTTTTTGGTGTGGGAATAATTTGCAGCGAAATTTTATTCAATGTTCAATGTACGTCCGAATTTCAGTTTACGCGGGTAGTCAAAAATGACTTTAGTGTTCATAAATGGAATGTAGAATAAAAAAATACGAACACCTGTTGCATAATTTTATTACTCTTTTATGTGTTTCTGATGATGTATATGCATTTCATATTTCATTGATTGGGTACATTCTGACGCGTAATTTAAATTTAGGCAGACAAGAGTAAAAGACAGACAATTAAAAAAGATAAAAACTGCGTAACACAAGATTCTTTTAAAAAAAAGAGAAAATGACCATGGTTGATGGACCTTTTTGTCATATAAATGTGACATTTTTGCACGAGTTTTGATATTCTGAACGTGTATAATTTTAATTAAGTTACCTGTAAAGCTTTCCTTTTGAATGAAGTGTGAATAGTAAAAGAGAGCAAAGGATTGCATGATCCTATGTGGATGTCATTTGGGCGATATGATCAAATTCTATTGAGAATACTGATTACATGATTAAACTATCTGTTTTGTATGGCGCTGAACTTCATCAAGCCACTATGAAGATATTTTATACAGACTCTGATCAAGATTTGACCGGATAGCTACACCGGACACCAAGTGAAAAGTAGACATATGTGAACGTCGTTTGCATAAATCTCACAGAAATTAAAACAAATCATACCAACTTTTTGTTCCGACCAGTTCGCCAATGAGTTTTATACAAATATAATTTTTACAAATATCAACTAAGAAAATATCCCTATGAGTTAAAGTGTTAGAAAAGATAAAAGACAGTCTCATGACATACTGACAACTGAAGCAGCAAAGGCTGCAGACAAAAGAGACCTCAGAACATTATATTGGTTTCTTTCCGGCAAAGGATGGTCAAGGGAACCTAATTACCAAAGAGGAGAGACAAAGGAAACAATGGACTGATCGTTTCAAAAGATTCTTGAGTCAACCGTCCAGAAATACCGCCAACAGCACGCACAGAACTGCCAGTGGACATCAATCCTCCAACAAAAGCAGAAGTCTTGAATGTAATCAAGCTACTGAAAGCCAACCGGGAAGGCAGCAGGACCGGACGGAATTCCTCACAAAGTAATGATAACGCATCACAAAAACTGCAGCGAATGTGCTCATGCTACTATTGCAGAACATTTGAAAGGAAAGGAAGGTACCTATTAACATTGGAAAGAAGGCTACCTTTTTCAAACTTACCAAAGGAATGCGACTTAGGCGTCTGCAAGAACTGGAGCAGAATCATGCTCTTGGAGAGAATAAAAGATGCACTGGATGCAGAACCCCGGCCGCATAAAGCTGGATTAAGAAAATGCAGATCGTGTGCTGACCAAATTGCAGCTCTACGCATTACCGTCGAACAGAACACAGAATGACAGTCAAACCTTGACCTCAGATTCATTGACTTTAAAAAAAGGCCACAGCAGCATTGACTGAGAAGTAATTTGAAAATTGCTTCAACTTTTATCAACCGCATTCAACAGCTATATGATGATGCCACATGTTATGTCATTAGCTAGGGGGAGGTCAGCGATACCTTTTTGAAGTAAAGTCAAGAGTAAGACAAATCTGCTTACTATCACCGATGATATTTCTGACTTTGTCGCGCTGGATCATGTGGCAGGCCGTGAGGAACAAGAAGACAGGAATATGTTGAACCAATGAGAAGAGTCTAGATGATCTGGGCTTGGGGGGGGGGATAATTTTTATCTAATGTTTGATATACTCGAAGACTTACAAGCGGAAACCAAGAAGTTGTTAGAAGTAGAGAAGACAAGTGAACATAGAGAAGACGGAGGTGAGGAAGACCACCACCACCAACAAGCACTGATCACTATCAAAAGGAGAAATTTAAAGGTAGCCACCTCTTTCATTTACCTGGAAAAGCAGCATCGTTTCAACTCTACAGGCAGCACGGATGAAGACATCAAAGGCAACCGGAATCGGAAAAGCAAGACAAACCTCCATCAACCTTAAATCAGTGCGGAAATCTATAGCACTCAGCATAAAAAACAAGATTCTTGTTTCCAACAATAATATTAAGTCAGGTCTAGGCGTGTTGCAAAAAGCATTTCGAACAGGTTTAACATTTATCAATAGCATCCTTCGCTCAATACTGAAGATCAGATGACCGGTCATAAAGGATTAGCAACAAGGGATTCTGGGAACAAAACAACCAACCAAGAACCTGTAGGTACATCCAGCCGACGAGTCCCAAATAGGACGAAATGCGCATCCTGGCTGAATTCCACTGCTAGTCACCATCCACAAATTATATTCTAATTAAATGCCCAGACGTCGTCGAAGCATCTGCTCAAGAAGCCGACATGTCAACCTGAGACCGAGCACTTCGGTCCAATCAATCAACGGGAAAATCTCAAATTCAATTAAATCAATATGACCCGTTGCACAAGAGGTGGCTCTCGTGGCCCAAGTGGTCTATTGGGCAACGCTTTGGCGTTTGAAACTATGGCCACTAGATTCAAGCCTCGATGGGAACATCATCACTCACTGAGAAATGCAGGTACATCCAGTGACGAGTCCAAAATAGGACGAAATTTGCATCCTGCATTCCACTGCTAGTCACCATCCACCAATTAAATACAAGAACCTGTAGCCTAAAAATATTTGGAAGAAAATAGAGAAGCATAGGACTTACGCTGAGGAGACCACTGAGTGACATGGTGCTCTAGGCCCTCGAGTGGAACCCAAATAGGAAATGACCAGTTGGGCGTTTGTCTGAGGATGACATAGAGGAGATCGTGACAGAAGATGAGAGGCTAAGAACAATCGTGGAGCCAGCTAAAAAAGGACTGCAGAGAACCAGATGAAATGAAGATGTGCTAAGGAAACTCATTTGTTCCAGGATTTTCATCATGAGCTGACATTAGTTAGAGAACCATCGGAAAACCTGGGAGTACTGGACAGCTGTTTCGTCCTAGTTTGGGACTCTTCATCAGTACGCACTCACCGTGGTTCGAACCCAGGACGTTCTGGTTACAAGGCGAGCTCGTAGACCACTGAGCCACTGGGACCCGATCCAATGGCCCATGAATTCTAACTTCTGCCAATCCACGACATAGCGCGACCCCTAGCCAATGTCTTCGGCGAGTATTTGTCCTCACACCCGACCTGCTGCACCCTACTGGTCCAGTGCTCCCAAGTTGTCCAATGTTTCTCTAACTAATGTCAGCTAATGATGAAATCCTGTAACCAATCAAATCCCTACAAACCAATACTTGAATATCATTTGTTCCACTCGGAAATCTAAGGGAATAATGATAAATAATAACGGTTCTCATAAAAAGTATTTTCAACACTGAAGAAACACGCGTTTGTCCGAAATGAATTTAAAGACCTTACCATCAATCTGTATGGCTTTCGAAATTGTATACTGTCTTAAAATAAAGATTATTTAATTTGAAATTCATATTCCTTTTAGAATAAACATACATTAAATGAGACTAACGAATACCTTATGCAATATTTTATGGTACATATCCTTACTAACCCTTACTCTGTTATTTTCTTCGTCAAGCCAAACTTTTAACATTGATCCATACATTTACAGAAAATAACTAGAAGCTTTAAAGAATATTCCCTGTATAGCACGTGGTCCGGGGTCGATTCCCATCAGACGAACTCCTAAACCTCGCCTAGCCCCTGGTAAATGCAGAATAGAGGGAAGGTTGAGCCAGGTGAGGCTAGCAACACCACCACGTAAAAACAACACGAATGCAACTGAATCTTCAAGACTTACACTTGAAACCTTACGTTCCACTCGGAACGCGAAAGAAAGAAAAAAAGCAGTGCAAGCAAAGTGAAGTAATATCAAGGGAGAGTTTAATAACTTACGCATTTCGATGATTTGTTCCATTCGTTTCATCCATATTATTAATGTTACTAATACTATTATGATTATTATTATTATTGACATTATTAATGGTAGGAAGCATCGATTTAAAATCACAGATATTATTATTATTGCTACTATTACTACGCATCATTTGATTTCTTGTTTCATCATGCATATCATTCATATTATTATTATTATTTGTATTATTCCCCTGAATAAATTGATCACTGTTCATTGTTGATGTTGTTTGAGTTGAAAATGTATTTGCCGGTAAATTTAAATTTCTTGTTAGTGTTGTTGTTGATGATGGTGGCCATTCATATCGACCATCATGTGTAGCAGAAATAGGTAGAAATGGCGGGACTGTATTACCACGAGTTGACTGGAAACAACTAGGCACATTAGTAGTAATTGGTATTGAGCCTTGAGGACCTTTAGGAACACAAGTTAAAGGAAAAGCAATGAATAATTTTCAAATTATGCTATACAAAAATAAAGGAACTGATTTTATAAACGATAATATTGTATATGATGCCTAGAACTGTGTCTGCGACTCTTTATCAAGAGTGGGAAGTGTGCAACAAAGTAAATTTTTCAGCTTCAGCGACAATACCAGCGAGTCACTGTCTGGCTCCAGCTTCGTGGTATGGGACTGCTGCATTGGTTGTTGTCTGTCCGTCGGGTTGTCGAACACCATCACAAATCGTTCTAACAATAGCTTCCAGATCTCCTTCCTACCTACACGCTCCATGCTATCGTCAGCCGCCTTCCTTCGAACACTCAGTAGTGTCCCCGGTACAACCATTTTCGTTATCTGATCCTGAATGCCTACCAAATAAGCGACGGTTTCGAGATCCTACAAGAAGCTCCATATATCTCCCTCTTCGAATGCTGAAAGCCATGGGATCTTCATTAGGTCTTAGGTAGCGAAACCAAATGAAACAGCAGAACACGGTAGTGTTTAGAAGCGGAATCGACTCTTGAGAAATTTATGCATAGATATGGAAATATACCTATACCTTACATTGAAATCTGAATTTACACATGTTCTCTGAATTGTGCTGCATTTGTCTTCCTTTCACGTTATCTATGTTGTTTTACAAGTACCTTTCATTTCTCCTCGTCAACATTTAAACCGTTCCTCCGCTATTCAATATTCTTGCAGAAGACATCACACACAATATTGTTTTGTTCCATTAAGTCTCAAGTGGAACATTCGACCTCAAGCATGAACCTTAAGGTTTCAGTAGCGGGGGAATGTTGCCGCCTACGAGAGATTTAAGAGTGTGTCTGCCAGGGATCAAACTCTGGACAACGTATATATATACTACTATACTGCTTAGGAAATCTTGTCAGCAGCACCCACCACAAAAAGGCATTATTATTATTATCCATCAGTAAATGAGATGCTGTCAGCCTTTACCACTGAAGGTCATCCTGTCATCCTAGCAGTTGTTAACAGGAATACTGACATAAAACAGACTAACTCTGAATGTCTTGAGAGAAAGCCTTTAAGTAGTTAGAAATTTCATTTAAATCTGTTAAATATAAGGCATTTCTTCTTGACTAAATGGATAACTTGCCTAAGTCGATTTTTTATTTCCCGTGGACTGATTATATATTGGACCAGCATGATATTTTTCTGTGGATGGTGACTAGCAGTAGAATCCAGGATGGGTATTTCGTCCTATTTAGGACTTTCCAGCTAGATATAATTGTACTTCCAGTGAGTGTTGTTTCCACTACGTCTCGACACCTGCACCCATCTCTTATAACACGGAATGGTTATCCACTAGGTAACTTGGGCTTCGACAGCTACCTTTTGTGCGACAAGTATCAGTTCTTATTTGTTTAAGTTGATTGTGCATTTCCTGTTGATTGATTCATATCGGACAAAAATGTTCAGTCTCTGTTAACATGTTGTCTCCCGGTACGGTCGCTTTGACAAGACGTGGCTTTAGTGGACCAAGTCGCTTAGTGAACAACGTGCTCCAGCGTTTGAAACGATGGGTGATAGGTTTCAGTCTCAGTGGGAGCACTATCATTCATTGGGAATTGCAGATACATCCAGATGACGAATTCCACAAGGACAGAAATATTGATTCTGGATTCCACTGCTAGTTATCATCCAGTAAAGTCACATAAGCGGATAGCTCTCAATCGATGACGCCCATGAAGCTGATGAAGATCCATCAAAAAGTGAGTAGAACAAAGTTATTTGACTGACGGTAGCTAGAGCGGGGGATCCAAGATTGTGATTCTTTCCTGTTTAAGATTCGTCAGCTAGATATATCTGAATCTTCACTGAGTGATGCTGTTCCCAATGAAACTCAAGTATCGCCTTATTTTTTTTATTATAGCTTGATTCCACACCGTATTTTTGGTACAGGTATGAAATTTTCAGCATGTGATATCGGTAGCCCAAATTTCGCAGGCTGATCATTGATATCAGATGGGCGTCGGCAGGAGATCGAACCCCGAACCATGTGCATGGCCGGCGAGAGTCCTAACCACTGTGCCACTGACGCACAGCAGACGTCGTCAAAGTATCCGATGTAATAGGGATGAAGACTATCGATGATCTGTCGTATAATACAATCGTAGAATAATTGGTAATATCGAATGAAAAAAGTATTCACACATCAGGTTGACTAAGGAAGTTGTTTTACATAGAAATATTCATTTATTCATTCATTTGAAAAAGCCCATATGCCAACACACACTATACAGTTAGTTACCTTAGGGATAGTTCAACAGCGGGGAGTTTTACAACACAGAGAAACGACTAAAATGATACTTGTTGTGCCAAAGGTAACTCAAGTTACTCAACAGCCCAGCGGACTTTGAGATTGGCGTTTACAATAAAATAATGAGCAATAACTTCGAGTCATAATGAGAACGCTACAATGCAGATTCAACCAGTTAATAAGTTCCAAATGGAAAGAAATCTTCACCAACTAGCCCACATTAAACATTTAAAATCCGAAGGTCTGCCATATACAAATCCAATCTGTTTGTGAAGAACTGATGTGATATGTAGGACTCCTAAGGTAATACTTTACAAAGACAATAATAATAATAATTTGCTTTATTCCAGAAACAGTACTAGTGGTACAGTGTGGAATTTTCAGCACATATCTACAATATTTGCATCTAATTTTTACCGACATTTAAAATAAGTATTAAACAAACAAAAAATAAATCTGAAGACACCAACAGCAAAAAAAAACAGGATAAACACAAAATAATTACAAATGCGAAAAAGTACCAAAGTCTACCAAGGTCTAATGCAGTGTTTGTGGTGGTAGTGTGAGTAATCCTGAATAATACAAAATATTTTTTTTAAGGTGATGACTATGGCGTTCACAACCAATGATTGTCGGTTTAATATTGCCGAAAAGTATAGAAAATAAGAAAAAACAACCACAAAACTAATAATTACATGATGGTTAATGACAGGACAATTTTGTAATACTCATAGTGCTAATATAGTTGGAACCAGTAGATACACAAAAGAAGGAATATAGGAAAGTACAAAAAAGGAAGCCAATGTTAATATTTTAGGTAGCTAAGTATGTTTGAAGAAGGAGTTCACTAAAGAATACAAAATAAGAGAGAAATAAAAGAGCCTAAAAATATGTTAATAACAAAGCAAGTCATAGGTTTCACGCTTAACATTGTCTCTGTCGCTTAGAACACGGGCCAAGTATGGTATCGTTGAGTTCCTGTACTTGGCTGTACAGTACAATACATACTCATGTGAGAAAAAAACTTTCTCACTAAACCAGTCTACTCACTATAAATACATGTCTAATGGTTAGTTATTATTCAGATATCCGGTACAGATTTTGTCTTTACCAGGCATATGAAACAACTTAAGTTGCCGAAACTGAATTAGGTGGAGCTGAATTGAAATCTGGGACCTATATGGATGACAGTCACATGCTTTAGCTTAATAGTTAGACATCAAATCTTCATTAGAAGGCCACAGTAATCGTGAACCGGTCCCGCTATGATATCAGGTCTGTAGTTATAAAAACTAACTACGGGCTGTACCTATTGCCATTTATTGAAATAGATGATAACACTATTGCCGATGTATGTGTGTGCTCAAGTATTGAAAAGAAAAACAATTTCCAGGTATAGTTTGGACTACTATTAAGTAATATAAGGCCTTATGCTCAACTTTCCAGATGAACTCATCCCTGGAATCCACTGAATTGATCGCAATCACTATTTGGAATAAGTGATAAATAATCATTATTACTTATGTAGGCATTTATAGGCATCTGGATTAACTTCAATGTAGATTTCGTTACCAAGCAACATCAGCTAGAGATTATCCAAAAATAGGTAGTACTGGACAGATATTTCGCCCCGGTTTTGGACTCTTCAGTAATGTGCACCCATGACTCCATCAGGGATTGAAGCCAGAACCTTGGAGTTACGAGATCAAGCTTGCTAGACATCCAGACTCTTGGGATGGAATTCAATGACTTAGGAACGCTAACTTTTGTTATTTCATGATGTGGCATTTTCGGTTCAATTATTTTTTAACTTGGCAAATGAAATTCTACGGCGTAAGAAAGAAAGCTCAACATGGAATAGCCATTTTTCCACAGTAAAAGTATCCTTTCTATTTACTTTGGCTACTATGATGGTCTTATGGTGTTTTACTATTATCACGTGAAACTTAAATAATACACAAGACTATGCAAACATGTGGAGAAATAAAAGCTCCACGATAAGCGATGTAGTGTACTTATGATACAGGCTTTATCTGAGGAAAAAAATCATTCTGAAGGGCACTTTCACTTCATAAAACCTATCCAAGAATAACATGATGGTATTTGCTTGATGGTGATCAGAGGTAGAATTCAAAGTGCAAGTTTCATCCGAATCAGAAATCAGCAGTTAGAAGTACCTATATTAACTTATGAGAGCAATTTGATCTAGTGAAACCCATTCAACGGGGAATACAAAACACACAAACTTTGATGATATTAGATAGATGGAGGCAATCGACCACAGGAAGCCTTGCTTGACCTAGGTTTCGTGCTAGTTGGCACTCACCAGTCAGCAAGGTGTATCTGCGACCTTGAAGGAACTCATGTCCCTTTCGGGATTCGAACCCGCGTCACCTAGTGCTGCAGTAAGAGACGGTATCACTGAGCTATTCGGACTCACAATTGACCTCCTGTAGGACTGTAGGGGATACTTTTGATTGAACACTAGTAACTAGTATGACATGTCTAGTCCTTTCTTTGATGCAGACTGAATTCTATCAGTCAGGTTCGCAATGTGGCCACCATTCTAGGTAGCTCGCCAACTATCTAATATCATCACATCAGTGTGCACCGTGATGGGGAGCTACCTAAAATGGTGGCCACACTGCAAACCTGACTGATAGAATTCAGTCTGCACCAAACAAA